AGGTGAGAGTGTTGACGAGGACAAGGCTGGAGATCACTCTGACATGCTGATTGAGTCAGAATAACAGACTGGAAGCTTTAAAAGGAGGGTGGTGCTTGAAACCATGGTTACCTGCAAGGAAGCACGTGCCGTCATCATTGCTTTGCACAAAAAGGGCTTCACAGGCAAGGATATTGCTGCTAGTAAGATTGCACCTAAATCAACCATTTATCGGATCATCAAGAACATCAAGGAGAGAGGTTCAATTGTTGTGAAGAAGGCGTCAGGGCGCCCAAGAAATCCAGCAAGCGCCAGGACCGTCTCCTAAAGTTGATTCAGCTGCGTGATCGGGGCACCACCAGTGCAGAGCTTGCTAAGGAATGGCAGCAGGCAGGTGTGAGTGCATCTGCACGCACAGTGAGGCGAAGAGTTTTGGAGGATGGCCTGGTGTCAAGAAGGGTAGCAAAGAAGCCACTTCTCTCCAGGAAAAACACCAGGGACAGACTGACATTCTGCAAAAGGTACAGGGATTGGACTGCTGAGGACTCGGGTAAAGTAATTTTTTCTGATGAATCCCCTTTCCGATTGTTTGGGGCATCCGGAAAACACCTTGTCCGGAGAAGACAAGGTGAGCGCTACCATCAGTCCTGTGTCATGCCAACAGTAAAGCATCCTGAGACCATTCATGTGTGGGGTTGCTTCTCAGCCAAGGGAGTGGGCTCACTCACAATTTTGCCTAAGAACACAGCCTTGAATAAAGAATGGTACCAACACATCCTCCGAGAGCAACTTCTCCCAACCATCCAAGAACAGTTTGGTGACGACCAATGCCTTTTCCAGCATGATGGAGCGCCTTGCCATAAGGCAAAAGTGATAACTAAGTGGCTCGGGGAACAAAACATCAACATTTTGGGTCCATGGCCAGGAAACTCCCCAGACCTTAATCCCATTGAGAACTTGTGGTCGATCCTCAAGAGGCAGGTGGACAAACAAAAACCCACATATTCTGACAAACTCCAAGCATTGATTATGCAAGAATGGGCTGCCATCAGTCAGGATGTGGCCCAGAAGTTAATTGACAGCATGCCAGGGCAGATTGCAGAGGTCTTGAGAAAGAAGGGTCAACAATGCAAATATTTGTCAATTGTCAATAAAAGCCTTTGACACTTATGGAATGCTTGTAATTATACTTCAGTATACCATAGTAACATCTGACAAAAATATCTCATAACACTGAAGCAGCGAACTTTGTGAAGACCAATACTTGTGTCATTCTCAAAACGTTTGACCACGACTGTACATGCACTGGAAGGTAGTTCATTAGAATCACGTTGCAGAAGAAAATGTCCCATGGCTTCAATACCGCCCTCGTGAGGAACATTTGTGTATAACGACACAACATCAAAAGTAACTAACAAAGTATTCTCAGGGAGAGGATCAAGAGATTCAATAATAGAGATCATACTGCTGGTGTCCTTTACAAAGGAGGGGAGCTGTTATGCGAGTGGTCTAATAAAAAAGTCAGCAAAAGTCGATAAAGGGGCCGTTACTGCATCAATGCCCGCTTGTGTAATTTCGGCAAATAACTTAAATACCCATCCAGGACAGTAAAGATAGTGTTCTGAAATTGGGCAGTGGGGTCACTTCTGAGTTTCTTGTAGAAGGTGTTGTCAAGCAGTTGTCTATGTCATTTACATAAACTGTCCTGCTCATGAATACAACCGACCCACCCTTATTAGCAGGGCGGGTAAGGACTGACGTAGCTGATTGTAAATCAAGCAAAGCTTGTTTTTATCCTTAGGTAAATTATGGAAAGATATGTACTCATGTTTGTTCTTCAGGAGATGAACACCATCTTTTTCAACGAGTCTGCAATATGTCTCAATAGAGTGATTGCGATTGGCTGGAGGTACAAAATAACTATTACTTCTAAAAGGAGTCGGAGTATGTGCAGGTGAGCAAGCTAAATGTTCAGTTGAAATATCACGATTTGGGGAGCTAAAGTATTCCCTTAAACTGATGTTTCTAAAAAACTAACATGTCTCCCTTAACATCGAAATCTGAGTTGTAGGCACAAAAGATAACCCTTTATTAAGCAAGGAGACATGGGCAGGGCTCAATATCTTGCTTGATAAATGAAAGACATTCAGTCCCGTGGGTTCTGGGACCGTGTGAACGGTCCCCTCTGCCTCCGGTAGTCGTTTCTTCTTACCCTGTCGGCCCAGTCTATCGTTGGATTCAAAACTGCCACTGGAACGGGATGAGCCGCTGGTTGTAGAGCGTTGGTCAGACGGGATTGGATAGAAGTAAGCAGCCTCCATCCTGCGTCTGTCATGGAGAGGAGGAGCAGTACCTCTTTTGTCAGGGTTTCCCCAGAAGTAGACTTTGTCCTCTGCCTTGTCTTTAATTAGGTGTTCAGTAAGGGTCTGGAACAAACAGACGTGACTGTCATGAGCCTTCATGTACCGAACAAACTTTTGAATGTTGGAGGTTCGTCTTCTTGATGTCCCTCACTTGGGGATGACTTTTGTTCAATGGACTGTGTTCTAATGATTCATGCACAGATACAGGAAACCAATAAGTGTTCATATTATATATATATATTATATTATTATTATACATGGGATAGTATAAAAGTAATCATTCTACCCCCCCCCCCCCCCAAAAAAAATATTTAAAAATAATAATACAAAAATAATACCACAAAAAAATTATACAAAATAATAATAATTGTAAAGTGGTTGTCCCACTGGCTATAAGGTGAATGCACCAATTTGTAAGTCGCTCTGGATAAGAGCGTCTGCTAAATGACGTAAATTTAAAAATATTCTGAAGAATGACAAGTGCTGATTTCTCCCCACGGTTCTGGTTTTGAGGCTTGGGCAGGCTGCAGTTCAACTGTCTAATCCCCTGCAAGGAGAAATACATTTAATGTATATTCCTGTTTGATATGCGTGCATATAATTAAATTGGACATGTTTTCCTTTATAATATGACAGTGTTTGTTTTGTATCCAATGCATTCAGCTTTCATTATGATCTTGAGACCAACAACTGGGGGAAAAAAAGTATTTAGTGTGATTTAGTGTTTATTTACAATGTGATTTTCTGGATTTTTTTTCTCATTTTGTCTGTCATAGTTGACGTGTACCTATGATGAAAATTACAGGCCTCTCATCTTTTTAAGTGGGAGAACTTGCACAATTGGTGGCTGACTAAATACTTTTTTTCCCCACTGTAAGTGTCTCTGTCTTGTCTCAGCGTCTGATACATGTGTTTCCATCTCTCCAATAGTATTTCTCATCCACTTTCACCTAATTCTACTCATTCATGAAATTGTATGACTATTTTGGGAGGTGATGATTTACAGTCGACTCCTGATAAGAGCTCAAATAAATTTTTACCTTACCCGAATTATTAGATGGCCTGCAAAAAAAAAAAACATTTACGCACTGAAAAAATGAGCGTGGACCAGAATGAGGCGCTCTCCTCTCTATATATAGTTCCTGCACTGAGGAATACCATCTTCAGAGAATGTTGTGATAATTTATCTGCAGATAATCGATGACTGGAGCTCAAAAAGCAACAGTAACAGTAAACAAACCATGGAGCCAAATTAAAGTTTCTTTCACATTCTTTATTTTGACAGGAAGTCAGTGCTGAGACAGGTCTCTTTTCCAGGGGAACCCTGTATACCACCAAACTACACATTCATATACACATTAAATAAACTTACTTATACACTACAATACATGAAAAACAAAACACAATCATAAAAAATTAATCAAAAATACATTATTCAGTAACAAGGTCAAATGCCCTAGAAACAGCAATTCCTCAAATTTTAAAGCACATTGTAGATCATTCCAAACGCAAGGCGCAAGGAAACCAAAGGCTGATTTAGCTGATTCTCTAGACACCAAAGGAGTCTCCAGAGTTAACCAGCCCTGTGAACGGGTTTGATACCTTGCGATTTAAGAGTAGAGGAAGCTGCACTTTGATAAAACAGTACCACCATAATCAAGAACAGCTAGAAAGGCTGACTGCAAAATATGCGATTCGGTTTCTGACCTTCACAAAAAGGAGCTGTTAAGTATTGTTGTGCAGCTTAAACTCTGGTTGTAACTGAATTTATAAAACGATGCCACTCGCGCAATTAAGAAATAAATAAGGAGTAAAGAAATAAAGTGGTGGAAAAAGTATCCAAACGTCATTCTTGAGTAAAAGTAAAAGATACATTAATAGAAAATGACTCAAGTAAAAGTGACCCAGTAAAATACTACTTCAGTAAATGTCTAAAAGTATTTGGTTTTAAATATACTGAAGTATCAAAAGTAAAAGTATTAATGTAATGCGTACTTGTGTGTGGCAGGGGAAATGTATGGAGTAAAAAGTACATTATTTGGCAAAGTTACAGGATAGAGGAGCACCTGGTGATTTTGGCAGGGAAGTTACAATGCCCCTCTTCGGCACAGTGAGAGGTCAAATCTTAGCACCTGAGAAGACCCTGATCAGAATATCCCTTCAGCAACTCCCTACGCGTGACCTCTGCCGCGACCCCGGCAATTCAAAACAGTCTCCCTCTTTCCAACTCAGCCAGGCTTTGATTGCTTCTGTACGCAATAACTGGTGCTTTTACTATTAAAGTGCATTGTCCCTGTCAAATAAATGAATAAATCAGCACATATTACTGACTACCTAAGCCACACCAAAGATGGCGGATGCAACAACAAATGCTGACGACATAGTGCTATATATGGAGCGGTAGGCAGACTAGTGGTTAAGCGCATGGGGCCAGTAACCAAAAGGTTGCTGGTTCCAATCCCTGAGCCAACTAGGTGAAAAATCTGTCGGTGCCCTTGAGCAAGGCACTTAACCCTAGTCGCTCTGGATATGAGCTTCTGCTAAATGACTAACACTTAAATATAGCAATGCATAGTCCTATATAGTCATAGGCAAGCATGGTCCTTGGTAGCGCATGTAACTCCAGGATAGTGGGTTTGATTCCTGGGACCGTCCATACATGTCTGCTAAATGGCATATAATACTATTATTATAAATTAGATCATTTCACATCTTTTACAATCTTTTAAACCTTTGACAGACTGGGTTCACTGGCCTCATCTTCCTCATTCTTCGTCGTCTCCTTGTTCTTCTTCATTAAGGGTTCTGCATTACTGACGTCCAAGGTTCCTGTTTAAATGGATGAGAGACAGGACTAGAACAGAACCGTCTAACACATCACATGAACACAGTCAACTAAGTCTGTGTTTCACATCCCTGGACTGGTGAAATCTACTATGTAGTCAAGTCCTCTGTTCAACCTCTTGACCATGTAGACCAGTGGTCACCAACCTTTTCTGAGTCAAGATCACTTTGAGTGAAAAATCAGGCCGAGATCTACCCCTCAGATTCTCTTTTAAACATGACTGAAAAAACATAAGCAACATTAACCAATTAAAAACTGTTCTGTAGCAATGAGGTTTGTACAGTAGGCTAGAAGTCCAATACATTATCACTGCATATTGGCTATGCTTGGATTTCCCTGCCAATCTTGTTCTTCTCAGACCACTTAGAAATTATATTTTATAAAATGTGGTATATGATCACACTGGTAATAGATCATGTGTTGTATTATTTGTGAGGCACAGCTAAGTGAGAATAATAATTAGCTTTTTTTTTTTTTTTTTACTGAACTGATGACCTGCATCTGATGGTCAGTCTGAGGGGAGGGAGAGAGCAGTGGTGAGGCTGACTGATGACCTGCATCTGATGGTCAGTCTGAGGGGAGGGAGAGAGCAGTGGTGAGGCTGACTGATGACCTGTATCTGATGGTCAGTCTGAGGGGAGGGAGGGAGCAGTGGTGAGGCTGCCTCTCACCCGACTCACTGTCCCTCCACCCTCCTTCCCTCTGCTGAGAAAAGGACAGTCGTCCAGCTGATGGCAAAACTCAAGTCACACTAAGTGTTGACAGTGCTGAATAACAACAAACATGAACTTAAACGTTTTTGAAATCTCACAGCATCAACTTTGCTGTATTCGTTGAGTCTCTCTCTAGTCTTGGTTTTAAACGTTTTGAAATCTCACAATATCAACTTTGCTGTATTCGTTGAGTCTCTCTCTAGTCATGGTTTTAAACGTTTCTGAAATCTCACAGCATCAACTTTGCTGTGCGTTAGAGGCTTTGTTTTACAGCCAATGGCTCGAAGAAACTGTGCAGACACAGTGATCTGAGCTATCTGATTGGCCAGTGGTCGGCCTATAGGAGCACTTGATTTGCTCTCTGGACCTGCCGGGTAGGCAGAGTTCTATGATGTTGTATGTTCACATGAAATGGGAACGCTTTTCCTTCCCGGCACCAGGGCTGCTGAATCAAGTGGACCTACTGCAAACAGCACCAAAAAATAAAAATAAATAGGAACACAAGGCTTTATCGTTGGGTTTTTTACAGAAATGTTTGGTGATCGACTAGGAATGTCTTGGAGATGGAGCAGTCAATCGCGATCGACCGGTTGGTGACCACTGATGTAGACAGACATGAATTACCTCTCTCTTTAGGTTGTTTTATATAGCGCAATTAGACCTCCACCAGATAACACTACCACACCAGGAAGTAACTCCCATGACTTACCATGCTGATGGTCAATATCCCTTTTCTTATCAACAGGTAGAGACCTCCAGCTCCAGCTGCAACTCCAACAAGAGCTGTGACTCCAACTGCAACAAGAACTGTCAGCCACAAGGACTGGCACTGCTTAGGAAACATTTGATCTGAAACACAGGATGTAGAATTATTACAATACCTAATGCGTATTACACATGAAATGACTTAAACAACAGGACATTTTTTACCGATAGTGCCTTCTTTCAAATATCCAAAACAGACCCTCACCTGGAATATGAACCCGTCTCTCCTTCATGTGTTTGATCTCCGGCTGTTGAACCCGACAGGTGAACGTGTTGTTGTCCGTTTTCGGGGCGTTGACATGGCTTGTCACAGTGTAGCAGCCTTCACGGTCTCTGGATGTCTCTGGAGGTCCAGCAGCAGGGAGGACACGTCCATGAACGTCACACCACTCCATGACAGGCTCTGGGTAGCAGCCTTCAGCCTCACAGCGCAGGACCACCTCATCACCTTTGATTCCTTCAATGGTGATTACTGGTCGAGACGCTGCACCTATAGAGATACAGAGATATACCACAGCTCTCAGCCAATCAGCATTCAGGGCTCAAACCACCTTGTTTATAATGTTATACCACATATACCACGGGTATGACAATAAAATAATTACGTCGGTAACCAGTTTATAATAGCAATAAGGCAACTCAGGGTTTGTGGTATGTGGTCAATATACCACGGCTAATGGCTATATCCAGGTTGCGTTGTACATAAGAACAGACCTTAGCCGTGGTATATTGGCCATATGACACACCCCCTCGTGACTTATTGCTTAAATATAACAAGGGTTTGCTGATACTTATGGACCTTAAAATTCAAAAAGTAACTTCCAATGACTCACAGCATTGTACATTGAATTAGCTGGGGTAATCACACTATTAAGGTTAGTATGTAGGCTAACCAATCTAACTAATACTCATCAGGCAATGGACTTGACATTGAACTCACCCTTGATTTCATGTGATCTGTCTCTTAAGGGGGATTGGGTGGTCAGCAGGTGTGTTGACTCACCAACAATGAGTTGAATGGTGGTTTTCTGGTGGTCCAACAGTGGAACGTAACAGGTGTAGTTTCCAGCATCAGAGAGTTCCACTCTGATCAGCTTTAAACTAGCGTTGCCTTCCTCTAGTTCTTCTTTAAACAGTGACGTCCTTCCCCCGAATGATGGATTCTGGAGCGCAAGATCGTCCTTCTCATCTCTGTAAAGATGCACCTCTTTTGGTTTTAGGTCAGGTCTCTGCCATTCTACTGTCTGATACACAGCGCTAAAGGTGGGTCTCAGGGTGCAAGGCAGGATGACGTCGTCGCCAACTAAGGCCACAATGGGCTCAGCAGAACCAACAACCTGAACTGTCCCTGAGAGAAACAGATTACAGAGTGATATACTTTGAGACAAAGCAAGATACAGGCCTACTGAATGATGAGCAGGTTGACATTGACTCCCACACTGGTTGTCTACAATGTTAATGTACATCATCACTATATCATCAACATAATAATAATATGCCATTTAGCAGACGCTTTTATCCAAAGCGACTTACAGTCATGCGTGCATACATTTTTTGTTGTTGTTGTTTTGTGTATGGGTGGCCCTCTGTAGCTCAGCTGGTAGAGCACGGCGCTTGTAACGCCAAGGTAGTGGGTTCGATCCCCGGGACCACCCATACACAAAACAACAACAAAAAAAATGTATGCACGCATGACTGTAAGTCGCTTTGGATAAAAGCGTCTGCTAAATGGCATATTATTATTATTATTATTATTATAACATATCAAGATATCAGCACTAGCTAGCACAAGCTAGCTAGTGCTAGCTAGTGCTGATATCTTGATATGCACTAGCTAGCTAGCAAACGTACTTACCACTTGTGTCACCTGATGTTGTTGATATAGTGATGATGTACATTAACATTGTAGACAAATAGCAGGGCAAAGAAGTCTTCATATTGACCGGTTAAGCGTCCAACGTTATGATGCTCCGGTTAAAGACAGAAGCGGAAGTGACGTAACTCTGGGGTCACGTCACTTCCGCTTCTGTCTTTATGTTCGGCTTTACATTAATGTTTTTGTTTTTTTATTTTATTTCACCTTTATTTAACCAGGTAAGCCAGTTGAGAACAAGTTCTCTTTTACAACTGCGACCTGGCCAAGATAAAGCAAAGCAGTGCGATAAAAACAACAGCAACACAGAGTTACATATGGGGTAAAAAAAACATAAAGTCAAAAAATACAACAGAAAATATATATACCTTGTGTGCAAATGTAGCAATTTATGGAGGTAAGGCAATAAATAGGCTATAGTGCAAAATAATTACAATTAGTATTAACACTGGAATGCTAGATGTGCAAGAGATTATGTGCAATTAGAGATATTGGGGTACAAAAGAGCAAAAATAAATAACAATATGGGGATGAGGTAGTTGGGTGGGCTAATTTCAGATGGGCTGTGTACAGGTGCAGTGATCGGTAAGGTGCTCTGACAACTGATGCTTAAAGTTAGTGAGGGAGATAAGAGTCTCCAGCTTCAGGGATGACTGTTTGACTTTCCTCAGCTGTGTGAGTTGTGTGTCTTTTTCTGTTTCTGCTCAGATCTCCTTCAGTTTTGTGTCACTAACTGGTAAGTTGCTGTACACAGTGTGCACCTGCATGTCCATGCCTTCACTGAGGCTGCTGTCCTTGTAGGTAAGAAACTTCCTGGAGAGTGTGTCTGCGACAGGGATGTCTTTGCCTGGACGGTGAGTGATTGTGAAGTCGTATTTTTGTAGTTGAAGGATCATTCTCTGTAGCCTTGGCGGGGCTGCGGCTAACGGTTTCCTCATGATTGACTCGAGGGGCTTGTGGTCTGATTCCACAATGACTTGTCGTCCATAGACATACTGATGGAAACGCTTACATCCGAACAGAATGGCGTACAGCTCCTTTTCGATTTGAGCGTAGTTGATTTCACAGTCTGTGAGAGATTTGGAAGCGTAGCCGGGTTTTCCTTCTTGCAGTAGCACTGCCCCTAGTCCATACTTCGACGCGTCCACCTGGAGTCTGAGCTCTTTGTTGGGGTCGCAGTAGGCAAGGATTGGTCCTGGTTCTCTCGTGATCAAGTCTTTCACTTTCTGGAAAGCGATGTCGTGTTGGTTGTCCCAGAGGAACTCACTGGACTGCTTTAGCAGCTGACGCAGGGGTGCATTAGCATTGGAGAGGCTGGGTGCGAACTTGGCTAAGTAGTTTACCATGCCAAGCACTGTTTCCAGCTCTGCGCGGTTCTTTGGTGGCTCCATTTCCTTTATGGCTGAGATCTTCTGCGGATCTGGCTTGATTCCATTCGCTGTGAGAAGATGTCCGAAGTAGCTGACCTCTGTAGCGCCGACTGTGCTCTTCTCGGGGTTGAGCCGGACTCCTCTCTCGTGGGACATTTGCAGCATCGCGCTGAGGTTTCTGTCGTGTTCCTCTTTGGTTCGACCATAGACAAGGATGTCGTCCACAATTGCCACGACTCCGTCGAGGCCTTCGTACACCTCGTCGATCTTTCGCTGAAACTCGTCTTGGGCTGAGATAATCCCAAAAGGCAGGCGACGGAACCTGTAGCGTCCAAATGGTGTGTTGAACGTTGTGAGCTTAGATGACTCTTCTGTGAGCTTGATAGCCCAGTAGCCTGATCTGGCGTCCATGACACTGAAGTAGCGTGCGCCCGCTAGCTTGTGTGTGATGCCATCTAGCGTCGGTAAGGGGTAATGGGGGCGTTTGATAGCCTTGTTCAAGTCTCTTGGGTCGAAACATACTCTGAGTTTGCCTGTGCGTGGTTTCTCCACCACCACTAACGCGTTGACCCAATCCGTCGGTTCTGTAACCTTGGTGACGATGTCAGATTGCTCCATGCTCTCCAACTCTCCAACTCTTTCTTCAGACGGGCGCGGAGAGCAAGTGGAATCTTTCTCGGTGGGTAGACCACAGGGGTTGCGTCTGGGTCAAGGTGAATGGTACTTTCTCCTGGGAATAGTCCTATTCCTGTAAAAACATCAGCAAACTCCTCCATGACATTCTCTATCTCTACTGGTGCTGTCACTGATAAAACTAGCTTGATAAGGTCCATGTCTAAACATGCTTTAAGACCTAGCACTGCAGGTGCTCGAGTGTCAACAACGTAAAAGTCCAACATCATGTCCCTTTCCTTGTATTTGCATTTGAGAGTGCATGTGCCTTTTACTGGGAGCAGTTCACCACCATAACCAGTCAGTCTGCGCGTGGTGGGCTGTAGCTCGCACTCAGATGTCAAGCTTCTGTACTTACTGTCAAAGTTGCGCCAATTCAAATCTGGTATCAGGAACAAAAGAGGTCAACACGACTTCTAAGATATACTAGTATTTTAATTAATATAAAACCTTCAATGGTAAATATGATGTTTCGTATATACGGGCTCCTTGAAATACCTCGCAGGGCACTTCAGAGAACTAAATCCATTGTTACATGTTCTTCCTCAAATACTCTGACAGAGAGAGAGTTCCCACCTCTCTGCTGGCCAATCAGAGTAGACGCTGAGTGTGGTTTAGACTTACTCAGCCAATCAGTTGGCGCACAGGCTAGTCCCAGCCCCTTAGTGCATCCCGGTTGCCAGGCATACGTTTATCATAACAACCTGTCATGGTGAGAAGAGCCAGCTCCCCTAGACACCATTCCTACGTCCAAGGAAGGATCACAGATCACAAAGAACCAGTATAGTCTAGTATTTGGAGACACAAATTATTATCTTATCTTAACCCCTAAAACAGCTCTTCACATCAATCACAGCTTGCCAGGTGACACAACCTACATTAGCCCAGTCAAGAATGCATTCTTTCTAAGTTAGTCATCCCATCAATTATAAAAATAATAAATCCCCCATAATCCCCCTTTTCACACCCACTAGGGTGTGATTCAAAAAATGTGAAAGGGAAAATGTAGGATTCCCTCTGTTGACACCATTTATGGTGTCACTCCAAATAACAGTTTGAACAGAATATAAACAACCCTGAGTATAACAGGATATGGAAATTAAATCACATCAAAAAATGTTAATAAACGAAAAATAATAATTTTAACCCTCTATTTCTCCCCTACACCTAACATATACTGAGTCGGCTACCAGCCACCCATGGAATCCTTTACCTTCACATCAGGAGGAATAAACAACCACAGTGGTTAGTAAAAACATAAGGTAATAAATGAGTAAGAACTGAAAATAAATGAGTATATTTTACTAGGCAAACCATGGATCATCCAACTTGGTCTCAGAGTCAGTGGCAGAGTCACCTGCATCATCCTGGGCTGGCAACAACGGCATCATACCTGACGCCTGCACCACTCCTACCACTGACCTCCTGAGACAGGGAATGATGCAAGCAGCACAACACATCAAAAACAAAAACACAATCACTAGGGTCAGAAATCCAGTAACCACCTTAGAAGAATACTTACCGAACCAGTCACTTAACCAGGAGAACAGCCCACCACTCCCCACTCCAGCCATGCTCTTCATTTCTGCTGACAACTTATCCAGGCCAACTAGGGCCTTTGTGATGCTCCTATCGTGTCGCGTCGAATGATGGTGCTCATTGCTGTCAAACAAAGGAGTCCGCTCATACTGAACCTGGATCATAAGTTTTATTCATATCACAAGCTTTCAGCATGAGTTACAGACTTGCAGGGGTATAGTCTTTTGAACTAAGATAAACATCCTCTGGTTCCATTAAGAAAGTCATAATCTTTAATACACTACATTTCCCCCCTTCGAGACTAACAAAAAGTCTCGAAAACAAACAGAATAGGATTATGACCAGTAACAATTTATCTTATTGAGTATCTTTAACCTTAAACCAAAAAAACATTCTTCTCTAGAGTGTATATACCTTTCTATGAAATATGAACAAATGTTTATGAAGTGTGAATACATTATTATGAAATATGAACAAATCTTTATGGAGTGTGAGAGCGAAAAACTGTCCGGCAGCCATCTTTCCAGATATCCATCCATCAATCAAGACAGTAAAATTCTCTCACGGTTCCTCTGCCCCAGGCAACCACCTAGGTACTCCCGATAAACTCATAAATCCCTATCAATGCATTTGAAACTATGATGCAATTAAATACACATGTAAGCCCCTGCAAACAAAATACTATCCAAAAAATGTCCACTCTAAGGCTGGTCAACCCATCGGATCCTACAGTGGACCTCTCCCTGCCTAGACTCCCTGTCCCTAAGCATCAACAAAATAAACAAAAACATCTAAGATCCCCACATGTATCCAATAACATCAAATATCATTCTACAAAAATTAATACCTAAGAATATGACACAAATTATGTATTACACATGCAAATATGTCT